AAAATAGTCTTTGAAATCGGCACGAGTAATTAGGCATTCACTATGTTCACAAAATAAAGAGTTCTTACAATAAGTGGTTGGTACCGCTGCTCAGCGATGTTCTCAAAGACCCAGGCTTTCTGTCTTCCTGTTGTGACCTCCTCATGTGTTGGTATGTCTTCTTCAAGATTGCTGGGAAGGTTATCATCTAATGGAATCTAAAAGCTAGAAGAGAGAAGTGACTCTCTTTGAGCATCTCCCTTTTTTTGAGGGGCACAGTTTTTCCCAAAAGCTCCCGGCAGACCTGTGTTGAATCCCAGTTTGCCAAAACTGAGTCATCTGTCCATGCTGCAAGAGAGAGCTTGAAAAACAAATACTTTGCATTTTTAACCTCTATACTGGTAGGCTGGCCCTGCTGATAAAGAATGTAAGCACTATGAAGACTGCAGCTTTTGTCTGTTTTGTTTGCTAGTGTGTCCCCAGTGCCTGGGATGGTGCCAGGTGTTCAGTAAACATCCATTAGAGGAATTAATAAATAAGAGAATGTTGCCATAGTTGTCCATAGTGTGCCATACAAAAGAACCTTGCATAATGAAGACACATTATGCTCCCATCTTCTGTCTTTTCTCTTGTAGTAGCTTGAACCAGGCTCTCCTGGTTGATTGGCTTTCTGAGTGAACTCTTAGGATACCAAGGGCTCCTTACAACCTTCAGTAAGGCAGTATCAGACTTTGGGTAATTCAGAGACTGGGTAACACCCTCACCTCCCCAACCTCTCTACTGTTAATACACCCTTTTTTTTTTTTTAATCTGAATACAAAATACAGGCCAGGTTTGGATTTGGTGTTTAACCTCTTTATATACCAATTTAAGTGACACAGAGCATGCGCTATTCAGTCATTAAAATGAGTGGCCCCAGACCATTTATGATGTGATGTGATGCCCTGCGTGTGTTACTCCCCTTGGACTTGGTTTATGGGCAAGGCCTGTTGGGATGTGGACATCAAACTCTGTTCCTAGTTTTCCCAGTTAGGCTCACTTCTCAGAGCATCTGGCAGCTGGGTTAATGACCTGTCTATTTCTCATTTTAATCTGGTGGCTCATCTAAGGTCCTCTCAGCTGGGCCAACCAACCTGATACTACCATTCACCCCATTCCTGGTTTCCTGGGGTACTCTGGGTTTCATCCAGAAGCCCTGATGACCAAAGCCATTGTGCAAAAGGCTGACCTGGAATTTCAGATTCCAAGCCCAGTGTTTGTGATGAACATTAGACATGCTAAGATTGGACAGATAGCTGTGTGGCAGGAGACTAAGGAAAAGGGTCTTTTCATTACTAATAAGTTATCATCCACATAGTATATCATAAATGGATGTTTTAAGAAATTCCAGCATTTCTCTTTGGATTTGTTTCATCCGTCAACAGTCATTGGACTTAAGGTCATTTTGTCTTACCATTTTCTGGTGTCTTATTGTGCTCCCAAATGTGGCAGATGGAAATAGTTTCTTGTTGAAAAAGACCCTCATGAGTTAGATTTCGAATATGTCCCGTGTATTTCCAATAGAAAATTTCCACTGAAACATTCAACCAGTATTCTTCTCTTTATACTTAATTCTCTGCACCCCTCTAATGCTATGGCCATATTTATTAAGATGTATTTACAGGCCTTGTTGTAGTAACTATTACTTTAAAGAATTTGTGGGTTTGATCTAAGGTAATCATGGATTTTTAAATATTTCTTATAGGTCCTTGCTTAGTGACTTGTATAGAAGAGTACTTAAAAATATTCATTTAATTAATTGGCTAGAAATGTTAGGTACCTTTTATTTTGATAAGTTGCTTTTTCCCCCCTCTTGGCTTATGTGGTAGTAGAGTTTTTTGTTGAGTTTTATCACCTTTCCAGTCAATGATCCTTCTATTTCAATCACATTAGACCTAGATAAATATTTTAGGTGTGTAACCTTGGCCACATTATGTGATTGTTTCATGTCTTAGTTTTATTGTTGATAAAATGAGAGCCATAACAATACCTACCTCTTAAGATGGTCAAGAGTAAATGAGTTAATACATGTAAAAACACTTAGCACCACCACCATTTATTTTGGAACTGCGCTTGGTCAGTTGCAACTGTTGGTTGGCTATGATTACAGAAGTTGGGCAAAATCAGTGAAAGCATTTTGTGAGAATTAATGAGCTCTATAGAATTTACTGTAAAGCATGTTGTGTATATTATATGAAAATTGTGTGCTACACACCTTTTAGTAAAATTTGTAATAAATTTATGTACAGATATATACACACACATTATTTTTGTCTTAAACATTTACCATCAGGTAACACTGCTGCTACTTTTGCTCCTCAAACTTATGGATGGTTCTCTAGCATATGGATAATGTCTGGATGTAGCTTGTAGCAGATGCTGTTGGTATCCTACCCAGATCTCCTTTACTGGGCCAGTGCATCCATCTCCCAGCTGCTTCGAGTATTGGCTGCTAATGACTCACACCTGTACCCTTCTCCAGAGGCCTGCCCTTGGCTGACAGTAATTGCCTCAACCAAATATGTCTGGGAGAGTATGAGATCACACCCCTACCCCCTCCTGTTCCCTAGGGGTGGCTCATAGCCAATGACTGTACCGGGGTATAGCAGCCCAGCCTCCTTGTCTTTGGACTGGACAACTTCTGTGGTTGAGTCCATGCTCTAGAGCTCCTCATTGGATCAAGCTGAGGGTAGATTTTTGAAACCAGATCTTTGCCAAGCCCCTTCCCCAATTCTAGCTTGCTTCTTTCACTCCAGGTTTCTCCTGACAGCACTGTCTATAATCAGGTGTTCAAGAAATGCGGTCTCAGACTCTGTGCCTGGGGAACCTGGCTTAAAGTGTTGCTGATTTCAGTGGCTCTGTTGTTTTCTTAGTTAGACCGTCACGTATGTAACTAACTACCTATATTAAATCTGTGGCTTAAATTGTTTTGTTTTGTACTGTTTTCTTGGTTGAAAGTTGCCTGATCTGCATTAACCCTGTTCACATCCCATGTTTTTACATATTTAAGGTTGTTCTACGTTAAATATCCTTGATGCTCTTATATAGCTGGGTATTTCAGTATAGGATTATGATGGATACCCTGGATTTTAAAATCTGAAATTTGGGGCGCCTGGGTGGCGCAGTCGGTTGAGTGTCCGACTTCAGCCAGGTCACGATCTCGCGGTCCGTGGGTTCGAGCCCCGCGTTGGGCTCTGGGCTGATGGCTCAGAGCCTGGAGCCTGTTTCCGATTCTGTGTCTCCCTCTCTCTCTGCCCCTCCCCCGTTCATGCTCTGTCTCTCTCTGTCCCAAAAATAAATAAACGTTGAAAAAAAATAAAATCTGAAATTTAAGTTTTAAATCCTGAATCAATTATACCTCCCTCTTGGGGTGGCTGTAAGAATTCTATGAGCTGTTCTTTTGAAAACACCTAGCACCGTGCCTGGAATGTAGGAAGTGCTTAATAAATGGTAGCTGTTTGGTAACTATTATTTTTTAAGAGGATTGCCCAGCCTGGTTGAGATGCCTCATCTCTTGTGCTCATGACGCCTAATGAGTACCTCTCTACAGAGCTTTATTACTTTATTATTTTTTTTTTCTATTTCTCACAGAAAAATATGGGCTTCTTAGTGCCCTCCAGTGGTGTGTTGGCCCTTAGGGGAAGAAAAGACCTGATGATAGCTTTCGTTGATTTCGATGGTGAAAATATTCCCACCCTATCCAGTTTGAAGCTACCAGTATGGCATCATTGAATACAGAGTTGGGAAGAGATGCACATATTTGGCTCTTGTCAGTTAGTGCACACCAACTCCAGTCCTTTATTCCTAACACTTAGTGCAGTATATCCAATATAGGAGCTAAATATTCAATGGAGGGCTAACATGTAGTTACTAACTGGTTAAGACTTGCTCATATACACTAAATTAATGAAATACCTTCATCTAATTTTTGTTGTATAACCAATAGTCCCATACCCCAAACACACACACACCATGGACTGCCCATGCTATTGATGAATAGAATGGAAATAAATGAAACACTTATCCTGATGTAGTAGGGAATGCCCATGCCCTCCCTGGACAGGTTGTCTACTCAGATGCAAATCTCAGTTTTGAGATTTACTAGACACATGAATGGGGATTAGTCACTTCACCTCTCTTGGCCCCAGATTCCTCGGACAGTTGGACTGGATAGTCTTTACAGGTCTTTCTAGTCTGAAAATCCATAAAGCCTAATTAGTGTATAATTTCATTTCCTCCTTCCCTCATTTTCCTCTTTCCTGTACTGAACCTTGAGTTATACATAATGCTGGATGTTGAAAATACAAAGAGGAATAAGACGTGGCCTTGGATGCTGAGAACCTCCATGTCTTTTTATGAACACTCCCATCATATCAAGACCATGAGTATGCCCATTGCCAAGTGGGTTTATGCAAATGTATCAAGTATTTAATTCATCACAGATTTCAGCACTTTGATACATAAAAATATTGTGCTAGTAGTTTTCACTTTCTAGATGAAATTAAATAAGGCTGTCATGCCTTATTGTCATGATCAGCAAGTAGTTCTTTTAGAAACTGTCCTCAGGATCATGTTCATTGTCTGGGATAAAGCTTCAGTGAACAGCTAGCTGGGTTACACTACTCTCTGAGTTAGGCTCAAACTCTGATTATAAAGAGTGGAGTTTTTATTTAGGACTAGTAAGCAAAATCTGAAAAAAATGTTGACTTTCAATCAAAACAACTATCCTAGTTCTTTCTCACATATTTTGATAAGAAAGGTATAAAGAATGACTGATAAACTTGGGTGTTCTCTTTCAAGGCCACATCCACCTGTTGGCTCTCATGCCTTGGTCCTCATCAACCATGTTCTCTGCCCTTAATTTTTAAAAACTACATTGGTTTCCAGTAGGAATTAGTGTTGGGAACACCAACAGGACTGTTGAGTATTTTTCAGTTGCCGAAAGCTATTTTTAAGAAGAGAATTTGTTTTGTTTTTGACAGGGGCTGATAATATCCGGAAATATTGGAGCCGCTACTACCAAGGATCTCAAGGGGTAATATTTGTATTAGACAGTGCCTCTTCAGAAGATGATTTAGAAACTGCTAGGAATGAACTGCACTCAGCTCTCCAGCACCCACAGTTATGCACTTTACCCTTTTTAATATTGGCCAATCATCAAGACAAGCCAGCTGCTCGATCAGTCCAAGAGGTATGTCTCATGAACGTGACAAGCCTTTGTCTTGTGTGCTGTGGTTTTGCTGCCACGTTGGAATCTGAAAACTTGTCTGTAATTAGGAATATGCTGGTTGTGGTGTTTTCCAACACGAAACCCTAGTTTTCTGAGAAAGTAGAAAGACTATATCAATCTATAGAAATTATTGTTTATATACCTTTCTCCACTTGGAAAGCATCATTTTTTTTTTTTTTTTTAACTTTAGCAAAAGTTGAAGGACTTCTCTGAATATTTTTCTCATCTGCTTTAAAAGGCTACAGGCTTGGTGATTTAGCATTTCTTACCCTGCTAGCTTACTTAGTTCATTCTCCTTTTCTCCAGCTTTTCAAGGAATGCCTCATGCGTGTCACCATGCATCACTTGCCCTCAGATGTCATGTTCTTGTCCCTCTGAAATGCTCACTGTTGACTAGAAGCAATGAGTCCTATTCTGTAACCAGCCAGGCTGAAAATTGATGTCTTATCTTGCAAGTTCCATGCCACCAAATACACTTTAATATGGACCTGTTCTTTATCTTCTTCATTGAATTTCATTTCTTAGTGTGTATCTCTCCTATAAAAACATGAGTCTAGTTCTGGACCGAAAAAAAATCAGTGTCTCACCCAGAAGAGCTTCTGATTCATGGATACGGAAGGAATAAGATATGGGAATAATTTTTAAATTTTGAATTGTGAATTTTAACCAAAGTACAGTGAAATAAAGACTTTTTATGTATTCCTTTACACCTGTAACTTTCAAGGTAGGTTTCTCTCCCCTTCTTCAGAAAATTGTGTGCTTCTTTTAGTGACTTCAGGATATTATAATTAGTAGGAATAACACTGCCCTGTAGTCTGAAACACTGGATGAGGAGTCAAACACCTAAGATGTTCTAACTCCAGACTGGTTTCACACTTAATGTGGGACCCAGGCAAAAAGCTCTGTTCCTTTGCTTGTCTTCCCATCAGTAAAATGGGAATAATGCGGGCTTTTTTTTTTTTTCTAAGTAAGTGAGTGGGATGGTTTTAGATAATTTACTTTGAAGTTTAAAGTACTAAGCAGTAGAAGAGATACTATATCAAGACAGTTTTCATTTAAGTCTTAGGAAAATAGTAAAGAAGGCAAGGTTTTCTTACTAAATAGAACTCGTGCCCATTTTTTGTTGCTTCGTTTATCATTAAGTAGTCAGCATGCACCTTTTTCCTTTTTAGATTTTGTGAAATATAAATACTAGTAAGTAATAAAGATAGAAACAAAGCAGTATTCAGAGTCATTAATGTGCAGATCTTCAGCATTGAACTTGTCGCGCCTTCCTGATCTGTTCTTAAGACTTGGGTGGGGTAAATCTTTTACTTTCTCAGCATCAGTTTTCCTGCTTGTAGAGTAGATATAATAGTATCTAATCGTAGACAGTTAGGAGTATTATAAATTATAAGATACTTGCTGAAGATGCATTGTTCTGAGATTCATTGTGGGAAATATATGTATGCAGTACAGAATACAAATAGACAATATAATGTTTTGTACATAAATAATATGTAATACATCTATAATAAAACATACGAAATACATATACAAGTGACGTTATAACATCAAATCACTTTATTCAAGTTATGTACAATAGCTGATTTTTTTCTTTTAATTTTAAGACACTGTTTTCCTTAGACATCATAAAATTGAAACTAATGTTTTCTTGAAACCAGATAGATAACTCAGGGTAATCCTCCATAGAAATTGAAGACTGTCACATTGAAGAAAGGAAGCTTTTAACAATTAATTGCTTCGGAATATGCCTTGTGTGTTTTCGCCAGTATCTTTCCTAAGAGACGGGCAAATATCTTTTTATGATTCATCTTTTAGTGAGACAGAGGCTGTAAATGTAGAATAAACAGAATGATTTGAAAATTATTCAAAATTTGTATATCCTGGATCATGTATGACTGACTTTCCTTTCTATTTATATCAATTTTAAATGACTTTTCCTCAAAACTTTTGCTTGTAATGGAATTTGCAAATACCATTTTGAGGACTGTTTAAGGTATTGTCCCTGTGGTTATATAAACATATACTATACAGGTGGACGTTAACATTTTAGATTTTAATTAAAGACATAGACAAATTCTGTTATAGATCTTGAAGCTTGTCGAAACATAATGAAGTGCCCATACGTTGGATTTGGCAGAAAAAGAAAAGGAAGCTTCTATTTTTCTCGTGGCTTAAATGACAAAGAGGTTTCTCAGAATAGTGTGTTACGATGCCTCTTTGAAATACTCCTAGGAATGTTTTAGGGATCAATATCTTTTTAATAAGTTCGCATGAAAGTGGAATTATAAAAACTGAATCTTAGACTTTTAATAAGCAATCATCTCAAAATGGTTGGAAGTAGGTTTGCGTAGAAGAGGGATAGAAGATTAAAAAGTGAGCGAACTTACATGTCATTTGAAATACGTTCAGAAGTGGCCATCTGTATACTACCCCTCCTTACCTTATTGTGAAGGTATTACATGCCCCTGTGCTCTGTTGCTTATAAACATTTTTATTCGTTTGTACCTGCTAATTCGTGTGCACTTCGTGTAATCTCCAAATGCTAAAAAGGATGGGTTTTTACTTTGCAAAATAGCTGTGAGTTTGAGGTAAAATTCTATTCTTTCAGAATTCAAGGAAAATGCATTCAGTTTACCAAAAGCACTGAACAGTTCTTTGATGCAGCTAAGAAAAGACCACGAGTCATAAAGGCTCATTGATTCTTCCCCTCCTCCCATTGAAATTATTACATTTTGTGCTCAATGCATTATGCAAAAAAAAAAAAAAAAAAAAAAAAAAAAAAAAAAAAAAAAAAAAAAAAAAAAAAAAAACAAAAAAAAAAACAAAAAAAAAAACTGTAATTATTTACCCTGTCACTGGAGTAAAACTTTAAAAATTCATTTATCATCTAATGAGGATAACAGAATGTTGTTGCATTTAGAAGCTGGTGAGATCCAAAGGAGAAAGAGGAATTATCCTGGGGATTCCAACCAGAGAATGAAAATCTCTGGAGGTTCTATATATTTAGTCCCCTCCTCTGCTATGAGTGTTGCAATGTTTGTGTAGAGAATGGAGTTAAGAAAGGAAGACAAGGGTTAAAATTACTTTCTAACCCACAGAGGGCAACATGCCCGATTATTTTGTTACCCTTCTAGAACGCAAGTAGAGTCTTGTACATTGCATAGTTCGCCTTCTGTAATAAACCTGGTAATGACCTGTGTTTAACTCAACAGCCTTTTAAGATTTTACATCTTGAGAATTGATAGTAGAAACATGTTTTTTAATAAATAATCTTTTTTTTTTTTTAATAGCAAAACACTGGGAAAAAGAACACCCTTTATGTACTGTCTGAAAGCCAAGCAGTTTTTGCAACAGATGTTTGTTGTATTCACTTTGGGGAGGTGTAGTTGCCACAGTTTTCCAGAATTTATTCATATCAACTACTTTTCCCTATAGAAAATATAATATAAAAATCTATAATTAAGTCAAGTGGCCCACTTGATTCATTAGGGAAAATTCTAGTCCAATTTGAATAATAAGGCTTTAAAACAAGAATCATCTTAAGGGTAAATAGGTTGGCTTTTTATTTGTATTGAATGGTAATTGTATCTAATTTGTTTTACAACTCCCATAGGAGAGCATACTTCAGTTCTGAAGTTATTTAATAGATTAGGAGGATTTTATGAGAAGTTAAATTGATATAGTAACCAATAAATGTAATCCTGTTTTCCCTCTACACGGTTGCCGATTGGGACTCTTTTACTTCCTAGCTTTTTAAAATCTTATTTTTGTTTTATTGGGCACTACTGTGTCTTATAAAATGACACATTTTGTCAACGTGAAAGAAATAGTTTAACCTTTCAGCAGCCTAATATGAATTGATATTTGTCCATATCCTTAATTCAAAAATGTTTACCTTTTTTAGAAATAGCACATCAAAAATACTGAATCAACTCTGTCAAGTATTCTGCATCGAAGCAAATACTAAGAAATGTGAAAACTGTGAAATAAAGATTCTTGAAGTGACATTGTAAGGTCAAATGACTTTAATGGTTCCATGGTTCATTAATTGTAGCACAAGAATATCCAGCTTTTAAATTAGGATGTCAACATTAAGGTTAAAATTTGTGATCAGGCATTTCTCAGTTTTCTTCCAATTGTCACTTAGTTTGTTATTGTGATGCACATTGAATGTGGGGTTCTATTAGGAAAGAATAAAATACAAGTGTGAGTAGAGTATTCCCAAGTATTTCTATAATGATACACTACCTTTTTAGCCCATGTTTTGCTTCGGTTATAAATATTCATATTTTTGAAAAATACTTTTCAATATTGAGTGTATCATGAATACTTTGTCTATAGACCTCTTGTGGAAGAGAGTGCTGGTGTGTGTTTCACGTTATTGAACCATTGCATTTAATTATAGTTCTTCTTTATAGATCATTATTTCTAAATTGTATACATTTTCCCCTTCCTAAAAGGGTCAGAGAGTTTTGAAGGATTGAAATGTTTGGGAACTGTTGATCTGCAAATAGTAAGCCTCTAATTTAAAATTTTTATTCTATACTCATACTTGTTAACGGTGGAGTGGTGTTTTTGTTTTGTTTTGTTTTGGTATCTCTATGAAGTGGTGAATATCCTCTCTGGTTTTACGTGACTAATCTTTTATTAGAAAACACAAAGCAGTGTTTAAATCATGTAACATACTTAGTTTATTATTACTCTCTGTATATGGACAGAAATGTGTGTGTGTTTGTACCATAATGATTGTAAAGTGTCATACACTTTAAATCTTAGGGGCTTCCAAGTGTCCTGACCTGCGTCTTGGCAGCATTTTAGAATACTGATTTGATTTCACTTAGAGCAGCGGACATGCGTATTGTGTGAGCAGTCTGAAGATTCCCTTATGGGACATATACTTACTTTAAAATGATGTAAGAGATACAAATTATTTTTTATTCATTCCTTACAGATGT